CAATGAATTTGTAACGCACTCGCCGCACCTTAGATCTGCGAAAAGACAAGCACAAAGGTCCTTGTCTTTTCGCAGGGTCGCAGACGCAAGGCCGCCCGTCGCCCGCGCTCTCATTTCAGTGACCTGTGGTTAGCTATGGCGTGACGTCGTAGGTGTTTGTGTTTCCGCGCGTGTATCGGCCACTTTCTGATACTTATTGTAAACATATACTCTAAGAGTACCTAGCAATGGCGAGATTTTATATCTTGTCTGGTGAAAACTTAGACTGTGCGACGAGTCAATATTTACCCGTGTTGGAATTTACAACGTGCACAAAGAGCACTCGTGGAGTTTACAAAACCCACACAAAATCAATGAACATGGTCATCAAGTTTGTTTTAGTGTTTACGTTTGGGCGGTAATCATTAACTACCACATCATTGGTCCAATATAGATCAAAGGTCGATTGACGGGAGTAACGTATCTGCTATCTGCAAATGATACGTTGACGGCATAATGTTGGAAAACTTTCCTCTGAGCCATCTGCAAGGAATGTACTTCCAGCACGACGGATGTCCATCTTATTACGAACGATCGCCAATTCGGTGATAGGTGGATAGGTCGCAGCTGACCTTTGAACCGGCCGGCGAGATCACCAGGCCTAAAACCTCTAGCCTTTCATTTGTGGGCCGAACTAAAACGATTACTATACACATCAGAAGCACAAAATATTAGTGAAAGTTTGACAAACAGTTTATATAGACGTGCTAGTTTGTGTTTAGAAAAAATTGGTGGACATTTTGAACAATTACTGCAATATCGCTAAAAAGGATTTTTTTTGTAAACAAAAATACTGTAGTATTAATTTCTCGGATTTTCTTCTCGAAAATTGTTCGGTTTAATTCCAACCGCACAATTTCACAATCGCACATGGCGACAAAACTCGCGATAACATCCATACCATCTGGATTATTGGCGGTCCACCACAGTGCGATTTAAAAGAAGTTTTCTTCCTCGTACAACTTCCTTGTGGAATCGACTACCACCAGAGATTTTTCCGGACCGATACTACTTAGAGTTTTTCAAGAAAAGAGCCTACTCCTTTTTAAAAGGCCGGCAACGCATCTGCAATTTCCCTGATGTTGCAGTTGTTCATAAGCTGCGGTAAGCAATTACCGTCAGGTGAACCGAATGCTCGTTTGCCACCTATCCTATAAAAAAAATGTAAATATTAATCAGTATAGTTTGTAAAGAGGTTGATTTCGATCTTTTAAATACGCCTAAGATGTTGCAGTATACGATAGGCATAAAAATTATTATTAGAAACTGTTTATGAATTTATTACTTATAAGGTACCCATTTTTCAGTGTCATCTGTCCAAAGTTTGCGGCAAAATGTGGTTGGCGTTAACCCGAAATTACAAAAGCAAATTATGTCATGTCTCTCCATTATCAATTTGAGTTTGTGCTTATTTCGGTGTGTGGAGTATATCATCCTCACTGCCTGAAAGCCCTTATTATTTTTAAGTAACCATCTTGCCAAAGGTTGCTTGCAAATCTATACAAATAAATAAAGTTAAAGTGTTTGTTTGTAGTACAACATATATATATATATATATATATATATATATATATATATATATATATATATATATATATATTTTTATATATATATGGTTTCATATTATAGCTATATGCGTAAGAGTCACTTTATGGCAACCGTAAATCAATTTGAATATAGAATATAATTACTACTTTATTACATTACCGTGTGTTCGATACATCACAAGCGTATGTCGGTCACGTATTCTATTTATTTCCGTTATTCTATACTTTAGCGCACCCGCTTCTTATTTTCCTCGATAAACAAAAAGAAAAATAATATGAAAACCTGACTTGAAGGTCGTCCCCGTTCGAAGACGATTAGCGTTTACAATTCATTATGATCACTAATGATTAAACAAGAATTTGTTTTAAACACTTATTACATTAAAAGATTTTACCTATGATATTATTGGTTCATATAGAACAAAAAATGAGCCGTGGTAGATCAGATGGTTAACGCTCGCTGTAAATATAACAGCACGCGATTAACCCGGGTTCGATCCCCGCCGACACCAATGAAATTTAATTGCAATTTTAAGTGCTGATTACCACGTGCTTGGTGGTGAAGAAAAACATCGTGAGGAAACCTGCATGTCTGAGGAATAAGAAAAAAATATTTCGAAGACATGTGAAGTTAGCTAACACGCATTGGGGCAGCGCGGCCGACACTTCCTTGCCTTAAAACCCTCTCATAAATGAGGGGAGGCCTGTGCCCAGCGGTGGGACGTATATAGGCTGTAACTTTACTATTATAGAAAAAAAGACTGATTTTTTTTTGATAAAACTTTTATATTTAGTCAAGCGATCCATTTATCGTTATTAACGATTATCACTTTTTCCATATTAATTGGAGTTCAATTATGTCTATGTTTCTATATTCTTTCTTCGTTTTTTTTGTGTACTGAGATACAAAGAAAGAAAAATTTTTTTGAGTCGCCGTATTAACAGAAGTTAGCCTGTAAGCACTGGGATGTGTATAATAGGTGAGCTGTTATATGCGCCGGGTATGTGTGTCGGCTATAAACATGCTGGACTTAAAAAGATTATAATTTCAATTTCAAGACATCCAGTAATGATGTTTTCCCTTTTAATCAAATCGTTTATTATGAGCTTTACCGCCGGGCAAAACCATCGCCATTACTGCCAACAACTAATGAGACTCAGCAAGAAATTGAGAAAAACGCCCGGAATTGATTAACAGAAAAGGAGTGACACAGACATCTTTGGACACTCAGCAAAAATTGAGAGAGCTTGGTTGGGAAGTCTTAGTGTATTCTTAGACAGATTCTCAGATTTTTACCTGTTTCGGTCTCTTCAGAATTCTTTGGGTAGTGTTAGGTTAACAAGAGAGGACTGTCAAAACTATATGTCGCACTTTTTTGATCAAACATCTCAAAATTTCTACAGCAACGGGATTATGTCACTACCTACAAGATTGCAACAAGTTATCAAACAAAACGACACATATACATTATAATTATATATCATCCTACACAATTATTATTTTCTAGAATAATATGTACATTTACTGATTATTAACAATAAATTAATGAAATTAAATTATAATATTTACAATTAATACCAATTATACTTAATATATAAAAAAAAAGAAACTATAATAAAGAAAAACTAACACTAGAAATTTAAATAGTCAAAGTCTGCCCCCCGTGGTAAGTGCCAAGAACGCTGGCTGCGTTTCCTCGCTGAATAGATATAGCTATACCAAGTTTGCAATATTTAAATAACTGTATGAAATAATTACTCGAAAAAGTTTTGTGAACGATTAAAAAAAATATATATGTAATTATAGATTATAAAAAGTCTTGAATATAAATATATAAATAAGAAAAGCTTTTTCACCACTCTTTTATATTATAAAATGTCTGCAATTGCCGATTCCGTCCCTTCTTACCCTTTTTTTTTCTTTCCTTTTTCGGCCATTCTCCACCAAATAGGTCTGTTTTGAAATCCTTGTTGCCACCAAGGATTTCAAAAAATTCTCAAATATATTCTGGTTATATTTTGATCTTTTAAGTAATTTTAAGTCTTCAAGCCCGCACTGAATAAAAGGTTTATGAGGTGTTTATATTGATATTCTGCATCTATTGTCAAACTGGTGGCCTAGAACAGGAATACCTGGATATTTTGTTATTTACTGGGGTTGAATAATAACCGTAACCAGCGGGTTGTGTTTCATGTCTCTGTTGTGAATGATTGTTCTGTGTCTGACACTGCATCCCAGATCCTAAACTACCTCTAATCGCATAAGCCTGACATCGGATTTCGATAGGTTAATGCTTAGGAGTTAATTTAAATTTATTATAAGTAAAGTACTACTTATTTACTATTACCTTTACGGTTATAGCCATACCCATGTACCGTCTGTCCATTGGTGAACATAGCCTTCCTTATAGATTGCCTCATAGGCAATTGAGGGATTACTATTTAATTAATATTACCTTTAAGGTTATAGCCATATCCGTGTCCCGTCTGTCCATTGATGAACATAGGCCTCCCTTATAGATTGCCTCATAGGCAATTGAGGGATTACTATTTAATTAATATTACCTTTAAGGTTATAGCCATATCCGTGTCCCGTCTGTCCATTGATCAACATAGGCCTCCCTTATAGATTGCCTCATAGGCAATTGAGGGATTACTATTTAATTAATATTACCTTTAAGGTAATAGCCATATCCGTGTCCCGTCTGTCCATTGATGAACATAGGCCTCCCTTATAGATTGCCTCATAGGCAATTGAGGGATTACTATTTAATTAATATTACCTTTACGGTTATAGCCATATCCGTGTCCCGTCTGTCCATTGATCAACATAGGCCTCCCTTATAGATTGCCTCATAGGCAATTGAGGGATTACTATTTAATTAATATTACCTTTAAGGTTATAGCCATATCCGTGTCCCGTCTGTCCATTGATGAACATAGGCCTCCCTTATAGATTGCCTCATAGGCAATTGAGGGATTACTATTTAATTAATATTACCTTTACGGTTATAGCCATATCCGTGTCCCGTCTGTCCATTGATGAACATAGGCCTCCCTTATAGATTGCCTCATAGGCAATTGAGGGATTACTATTTAATTAATATTACCTTTAAGGTAATAGCCATATCCATGTCCCGTCTGTCCATTGATGAACATAGGCCTCCTTTATAGATTGCCTCATAGGCAATTGAGGGATTATTATTTGCCATAGTTGTCACGTTGGCAAGCGGGATGGCAACTGCAGCTTTTTATTTTTAGTCGCGATTAGGAGTATGCTGCCGCCCATCTCTTAATTTGTTTACCTCGGTCGCTTCTTACGACACCTACGGGATAATATGTGGTAGTGGACATTCTTTCACCATCACTGCACGGTAAATAACCACTAATTAATTTATTATATTTGTTTTGCAGAACAAAGGCTGGATGCAGCGATCACACGTAGTTCGCAATCGGTCGGCGAGCGTAAGCGTAGAGGTTCTGCTGACGACGGACAACCCCATTACATGTACCAGCAAACTATACACGGTAATTTTTTTTAACGATACTCACCTTATATTTCGTCAGCCAAAATATATTTTGGTCTTTTTTTTAATTTTGATGTAGTGGTGCAACCTATATTATTGTCCCAGTGCTAGACTCTGTCCTCCTCTAATTTCTGTTAATGACATGGAAATATCAGCGCCATATGTGTCCTCGGAAATTTTAATTTCTCATACTCCATAAATTGGTTATCGCATGATATTTCCCGTTGTAGACCTCAGACGTAAAATACTCGGTCCGGACGGCCAGCTGCGTCAGTTTCTCCTAATAAATTTCTATTATCACATAATATTAAATTAGGAACTACTAACCTCGTTATTTTAATTAATATATATTATATTCAATACGATTGTATTTTATCTTATTGATCTTTTTTTGATAGTTTTTTAATACTACAAAATGCATCAAAATAATAATAATTATAAATTTTATATAGTGTTAATATTAGACTTATATTTAGTATCTTATTTATATATATATATATGTATATATATATATATATATATATATATATATATATATATATATATATATACATAGCTTAAGAGAATTCTCGAGCTTACAGTCAAGAGCTTTTCACGGGCAGTGTCTGGTGCAGTAGGATATCGGGGCAATACGATACATTTAGAATTTAGAGGAGTGGGCAAATGAGTATGCAACTCATCTGATGTGGCAAGTGTTGACCGTCGCCCATGAACAACTGCAACACCAGAGATATTGCAGGTGCGTTATAAAAAGCAGTACACTTATTTCTTGAAGGTCCTTAAGTCGTATCGGTCTGAAAAAATCACCGGTGGTAAACAATTCCACAAAGAAGTCGTGCGAGGAAGAAAGTAAATCGCACAGTAGTGGAACGCCAAGCATCTAGATGATGTGGATAATAAGGTGAGTTTTCTCGCGATGTGCTTTGGTGAAATTTGGCGGACGGAACTAAACCGAACCATTCATCACAGCACTCCCTGTGCTAAATGTAATAGAAAATGCAAACGGATGCAACATCTCTTCGCAACGCCAATGAATTAAGCCGATTAGAAAAAACTTGGTTGCCGACGAAAGGAGCTGGCACTGGAGAACCCCGACTCAGAGATGAGAACATCATTCATTGGAGGCCAAATCTGCGGCTTGTAGAGTTGCAAGAGGTGTGCCGGCATGGAATTTTGTTCCGCTCTGCTGAGCACGTTTAGCTTTTTACAGGCCATTTTAGCCTTCCCCTCTAAGTGACCACGAAACTGCACATCACTCAATATGTCGATGTCGAGGATTCCGATGCTAGTTGAGGCAACAAGGGCAGTACCCTGAAACAGGAGAAACGACAAAGGGGTTGTTTTTGGCGATAAAAGCGCAAACTTTTTTTTCTGAGGATTGAATTGGACCAGATTCAGTTACTCCCAAACCAAAACTTTGTTCACCAAAAACTCGACTCCAGACACATGTTTGTGGATGTTTGTTTAGAATGAAACACAGCTTGGTGTTTGACTTGAAGTTTTAATCTCTTTCTCTTCACAGCTATATCGTCTTGTCACAATGGCTTCCCGTTTGCTAGTGCTTAAAATCTAACTTCCCCTCATTCTTACTTCTTATTCAGTCACTCGCTCATTGTTCACTCATTTTTAATACTTGCTCTTTCACTCACTTTCATACTGTCATCTTGCTATCTTTATCACATATTCATTCTGTCACTTCATTCCTTTACGTACCGTCCCACATGTTTGTTTCGGTACTCGACGACGTGTTCCCGAGAAATATTGGCAAGGACAAAGGGCCAAAAAGGGCACAAAGCTTTTTTAGTACTGTCGGTCGTCTGCAGCATATAGCATATAGCAATGAATGTTACTGGTTCGCACTATATCATTGATATGCAAAAGAAACAGCGTAGGTGATAGTACGCAGCCTTTTGGAATCCTAGCATTAATAGGCTTGTAATCGGAGTATGCACCGTCTATTCAATCTTGATCCTCTGATCTGAAAATCACCAGCTCAGTAAACACGATGGAAACCGTACTGGCAGTCATTAATTTTCTGGTGATACTCAAGGTACGTTATGAGCTGGCAACTTATAATGGTCTCCATTATTTTGGCGAATTAGAAGATACTAGCGATAAGCAGATCTATCCGCTTGATTGCTTAAACGTGAAACAACCCATTGGGCGTGATGGGTATTGAAAAGAGCCAAGAATCACGATCTCTGTGGATGGGATTTGTTGTAGCAAGGAATCAGTAGCCATTAGAAGGTATTCGATGACTCGGTCTGTGTCGGTATTACCGATACGGGACCTATAGCGACACCCTTAGACGCTGGGATGGTCATCGCTCTCTACAATTGGTCAAAAAATGGATAGTTCCGTTCCAAATGATCGCTCCCATTTTATGGAGTTGTTGAAAGTTACTTGTGATTTTAGGAATTCTATCAAAATAGAGATGGAGTCAGATGAGTACGAGGTCCTGCAATTCACTAACTCCGAGGGCATAGAGTACGGGGTGCTAATAATCTCCGGTGGAGGTTGGATTGCCACCTAAGATGACTCGACCTGGTAACATATAACGCACGTCCCTGAGGCCTAACAAGAAGATCCTGGAGCTGGAAAAGTAGACAAGTTGCGCTGGGATATTATAGGAATATCTGAAGTACAAAAAGAAGGGGAGGACATGGTAATTTTCGAATCCGGCAACTTGTTCTATCATCGCGGGGTCAACCATCTGTCCCAAGGACGTGTCGGATTTGTCGTCCACAAGTCTCTCGTTAACCACGTTGTAAAGATTGTGTGTTGACGAGGGTTGCGTACCTTATACTCAGAATCACCAAATGGTATTCGTTGAAGGTTATACAGGTTTATGCACCAACCTCGGCACATCCCAATAAGGCGGTAGAGGAAATGTATGAGGATATCTCCAAAGCCATGCATTTCTCTAAAACCGACTATACGCTGGTGCTTAACGGTAAGCTGAAAGTAGAAAAATTGGAATAGGACAACGGAACGGCAGTCGAAAAGAAGCTGCCGGCTTCAGCGGATTTGACAGCATACAGGCAATTGAACAGACTGATCTCCAAATGCATGCGGCAAGATTTACCCAACTTCAATACAGCTCTTATTGAAGAAGCGATCGTGCGGAACCGGGGCTCCAAAGTCTTTGCCAGAGATCTGTCCACCAGAAAGAGCCAACTGTTGAAGCTCAAGACCGAGTGTGGCAGCATCATTTCTGAGACACCTGCGATTTTGAGTTACATTTTGAGGTTCTATGGGCAGTGGTACACGTAATCGTTGGAACCATACGCAAGTGTGAGTAACGATTCAAGAGCAAGTTTTATCGGACACTATTCCTATGATATCTCGGACGTAAGTCTGTGCGAGGTTAGAATTGCTCTCCAGCACCTTACTCCAGAGGCGTGGAGCAGAAGTGCGGTGGTCTTGTTATTCAAGAAAGAAGAAAACTCTCTCTTGAAGAACTACAGACAGATTTCCCTTCTGAGCGCGTCTACGTGCTGTTTTAAAGGGTCTTTACGAACCGTCTCGCAAACAAACTCGACGACTTCCAGCTTCCCGAACAATCCAGTTTCCAAAAAGGCTTTAGTACCGTAGACAACATACATACTCTTTCGGAAATTGTATAGAAGACCGAAAAGTACAATCTGCCACTTCGCCTTGTGTATGTGGACTATGAGAAAGCTTTTGATTTCGTCGAAATTTTGGCGGTACTTTACCTTTGAGCGGTGCCAAGTTGTTAGTCGGTATATACTCGTAGATGTGTTGAAGTGTTTGTACAGTAAGGCTACGATGACTATCCGAGTACAGAACCAGAGTATGAAACCTATCCAACTGCAGTACGTTTACTACGTACGTTCTATCCCAGAGTTTCAGGGATAGAACTTCACCGTAAGACGCAGTGACGTTTTATCCCTAAAACTCTTCACCGCTTCATTGTAAATCGTTTTTAAGCTACTGGACTGGAAAGTATACGGTATTAACATCAATGGCGAGTACAGCACTCACCTTCTATTTGCCGCCGGTATAGTCGTTATGGCTAAGTCGCTGGAGGACCTAAGCACTATACTCAATGACCCAAATGATGCCTCCCAACGGATAGTTCTTAAAATGAACATGGACAAAATAAAGATCATGTGTAACGTCCATGTCATACTTATGACGGTAAGTGTGGCGAGCGCTAAGCTCGAAGTAGTTGACGAGTTTGTTTACCAGGGACTAATAGTCCAACTATGTAAGTACAACTTCGACCGAGAGGTCAATCGACGGATTCAACTCAGCTTGGCAGTGTTCGGGAAATTACGAAATATGTTCTCGTCAGGTATACCTCAAAACCTAAAAACTAGATTGTACGACCAGTGCATGTTGCCAGTGATGACTTATGAATCTGACACGTGGTCCTTCACTGCTGGTCGAATGAGGACGCTCAAGGTCGCTCAGCGAGCTATAGAGCGGGCTATGCTCGGGTTTTCTGAAACATACCAATACCTGAGTATGTTACAAAATATGGGTATTAATGAAGCGAACATAAAACAATCAGTTCGCGATGTGTTTTTTTGCCCGATTCACAGAGGCGCCTTTGCTAGTCAGACGGCGCTCAACGATACCGCCCGCATCATACGCCGGTTTCTTTCCCTTTCCTAACCATCGTTGGTTTGGTCTCCCCTGCCGAGGGCTTCCTTCTGGTTGGGTTTTATCAATTTCTTTTAATTTTTCATATTAGTCTATCAAATTGTACTGCTGAACGTAGGCCTCCGCATAAAATGCCTCGTTATTCGGATGTTTATCATAGTTGCCACGCTTTGGAGGCGGCTTTGCAACCACAGTTTTTTTTATAGTTATTACGATTCTAATTATCTATTTATAAAACTATATTTTTCTTATTTATGCTTAAAGTATAATATATTTCAATGTTTAATTAGTATTTATGAACACCAACCAGACGACAAGAATGTAAATTACGACCATTATAATAATAGAACAACTTCGGTTCATACATAAAACCTTTCATTGGACGTGGGTTTGATACTACAAAGAGTTGTGAATGCAAGAAATTCTTTTTCAAACAATATAATATATTCGGAAACATACCAATACCAATTAATATATACTACCCGTGTGGTTAAAGAATAGGATTGAAAATGGCGTCGCCTCTATTCATCTCTCGCTTGCACACTGTCTCTATCTATACTCACACCCGCCGTTAAAGACTGCAAAAAACTACGTTGCGATAATGCGTTTTTCGTTTGTTCCATAACTTCAGTCCAACTTGTCATTGGGGGTCAATGATATCAAAATGCGGTAAAATGCAAAGCTAGTTTGTGAGTTGCGACGCGTTTTACGTTTTTCTTCATAGTTATTGTTGATTTTGTTTGTTAATATTTTTGTATAAAGTATTAACTTGCCTTCGAGACGAGTCACAATTTTTAAAATTTTTGTTTGTCTATCCTAACCCACCTAATCTTCAGAATGGCTAAACCGATTGAAGTAAAACTTTACGAACAAATAGAGAGTAATACCAGAAGTGATATAGACTCTTAATGATTTCTTAAATTTACGCGAACACTACACATTGAATAAAACTAAATTTACGGATTTTATCGCGTTTATTTCACTACTTTTACTTATTTTTTTTTAATTCCCGACGTTTCGGGTGCTTTACAGCAACCATGGTCACGGGGGGGACTGAGATGTTTGACGTCCCAATGTCATAGTTAGTCCGGCTACCTTCAGTTTTTGAATATTATTATTAGTTTTGCGTAAATCGGACCAAAAATTCGGATCGGATAAAAAAAAATAAGTAAAAGTAGTGAAATAAACGCGATAAAATCCGTAAATTTAGTTTTATTCAATGATCTAGACTCTTTTAGTAAAATAGAAATACTGATAAGTTAAAATAAATGGTCTAAGGATTATCTTAAGTCTAAATAACGCCACATTAGGAGAACCCACACAGGCGAAGCCAGAGCGAGTCGCTAATTATACATGTTATTTTAAAATTAATGTACCTACTTGCGTTTACAGTTATTTTCATATATTTTGGCATTAATAGAAAATCCAATTAAAGGAATAAAATAAAGCTATAACTATGTACCGTTATTAGCGGGTACCGTGCATGTCGACGATATTGACTCGATGAGTCGCCATTTCTAACCCCATTCTTTATCCGTACGAACTGTATATATATATATATATATATATATATATATATATATATATATATATATATATATATATATGGGTAATTGACATTTAATAAGTTAATGAAGTTAAATGTCTGTCACATAGTATATTTTGCAATATTTTTAGGCACCAGTGGAGTGAGCAGACGGCCAGCCTTGTTCGACATTTTCAAGTCGCGACCGCGCGGCGATGCTAAGAAACCACCTTCGATTATGCAACAAGTTAAGGCTGCTGTACAGGTGCATTTATATTTTAATTAAAGTGCCATAATATACTTAATTTTAATGCTGAATATTTAGATCGTGAAAGTGGCGTAGGGGGAATCCCTCTGTACAAATGTAACTTATAATGTGTGGCTTATAATGGCGACGAGGTTCGCCACCCGTCACGTTCTATCTCCCGGAGAGGCGAAAAGTGGATTGCAGAGGCCCGTCTGGCTACGTTGAATGTATGTGGGGCAATGAATGATAAAATGGATGAAGTATGCGATATGATGTATGATAGAGGAATAGATGTGTTATGCGTAAATGAGACGAAAAGAAAGGGGGAGGATGTCACTACACATGGCATGTATACCGCATACTGGTCTGGTGTAGACGAGATCGAGCGGGCATGCCAGGAAGTAGGTATCGTCCTTTCAGAAAGAATGGGCCAATGTGTGAAAGAGTATGAATGTGTAAGCCCAAGACTGCTATAGATACGAATGAAAGTGAGCTTAAAGAAGTTGTTTGTGTTAGGGGTCTACGCCCCAGACATGTCTAAGCTCACTTATATCCGAGAGCAGTTTTGGGAAATGGTAAGGATGGTGTTAATGACGTGTAAGGGAAATGAAAATATTATTATGCTAGGAGATTTTAATGGAAGGGTTGGGGTTAGGAGGCTTGGTTATGAAAGGATATTGGGAACGTTTGGTGATGAAAGTATAAATGAGAATGTTGAAAGTCTCCTCACCGTATGTATGGAAAAGAATCTTTTTGTGACGAGCACTTGCTTTCGCCACAAGAGGATTCACATGTATACTTGGGAAAGAGGTGACGATAGAAGCATGATAGATTTCATAATTGTGGATGAAAGATTGAGGGGCGCAGTCGTAGATACGAGAGTTTACCGGGGTTCTAACGTAGGAACGGATCATTATTTAGTTTTATGCCGAATTAATGGTCTATTCAGGCGTTGGCGCCATCGATCGTCTGTGTCTACCACTGCGTTACAGCGTATTAGAACAGAAAGGTTACAAGATGAAAGTGATAAAACAAGTTCAAATGTAGACTGAAAGAAAATATAAGTGGTTTGGATGAATTATGTATGAAGGAGTTAGACTTGGAGAATATATGGCAAAATGTAAAGAAAGGTTTAGTGGATGCAGCTACCGAAGTATGTGGTGCTAGTAAGAGAAAGAGTGAAAGGAAAAATAATACGTTATGGTGGGGTGATGAGATACGTATGGAAGTTGAAGCAAATAAGAGAGCATGGCTAGATTTACTAGCAACAAAGGCTGCTAATTCTAGTGGTACGAATGGTGATATTGAAAGAAAAAAGGCAGTCTTTAGACATCTTAATAAGAGAGTAAAAGAAGTAGTTGAAAGAAAAAAGCAAGAAAGAACAAATAAGAATGATAGAAGAATATCGGATAACTTCCAGACAAATATTAAAATGTTCTGGAAACTTGTAAGAACTGCCAGGGGACATTCAAAACAGCCTATGATGAATGCTATAAGAGACGAGAATGGCTATATTCTGAATGATGAAGTTTTGAGTTGAAAGAGATGGAAGGAATATTTTGAAAGCGTGTTTATGAGTGAGGAGACAACGTGTGTACTAAGTGAAGTAGAAACACCGAAAGAAGAGGAAAGAGGTAGTAATAATATAGATAATGTAATAAGTATAGATGAAATAATGAAAGCAAGGAAAAGCATGAAAGCAGGTAAGGCTGCCGGATATGATAGAGTTTCACTCGAAATGCTAAGGGCTGGAGAGGAAGTGGAGGCAGGCCTGCTGCAGACCTTGTTTAATTTATGCTGGGAACTGAAGCAGGTACCGGTAGACTGGTGAAAAGCCGTGATAGTCCCAGTATATAAAGGAAGAGGGTCGCAGCAGGACTGTAAAAACTACCGTGGCATCAGCCTTCTTAGCATTGTGGGAAAACTGTATGCTAAGGTACTGATTGAAAGGTTCATGAAAGAAACTGATGGAAAAATTTGGGATGTGTAAGCGGGATTTAGAAAGGGAATGGGATGTACAGATCAAGTCTTTTCCATGCGCATGATCGCGGAGTAGTTTCTGGCCAAAAACCAAAAGGTTTTTTGTGCGTTCATGGACTTGGAAAAGGCCTATAACAGAGTGGATAGGGATGTGCTATGGCAAACACTGAACTCATTTGGGTTGAGCGCTGGCTTGATACAGGCATTGGAGTCTCTTTATAGGAACTATAGTGCGTTAGGATCAACGGGGTCTACTCGGACTGGTTTGACATCCATAAAGGTGTCAGACAGGGCTGTGTGGCTTCCCCATGGCTGTTCAACCTATTTATGGACAGTTGTTTGCAAAATTTGAAAGTTGAAGAATGCGGATTAAGAATGGGTGAGTTAACCGTCAAATGCCTTTTGTACGCCGATGATCAAGTTATTCTTGCGTCGTCGGCGGCCGAGTTGCAAATGATGGTTACATTAATGAACGGATCATTAAAAGAAAGGGGTATGAAAGTGAACGCAAGTAAGACGAAGGTTATGGTTTTTGAAAGAGAAGAAAGTAAAACGATTTGTGAAATAAGAATAGAAGGGGGAGTTGATCGAGCAAGTCGATGAGTTTGTATATTTGGGCTGCGTATTTAGCAGGGATGGGAGATATGATAAGGATATAGAACGACGAGTGAATGCGGGACATAGAGTAAATGGGGCCTTGCACTCTATTGTGAAGAGTCAAAATGTGTCGAAAAAGGCACGTATGGCAATTCACAATGCTGTGTTGGTCCCTACTTTAACGTATGGTAGTGAAAGTTGGGTGTGGCAGAAGAAGCACGAGAGTAGAATAAACGCAGTAGAAATGCGGTCGTTAAGGATTATGTTAGGGCTGAATCTGAATGACAGGGTAAGAAATTGTGTAATAAGAGAAGAGTGTGGTTTGCAAGATGATGTTGTGACCAGGATTAAGAAAGGAATGCTTCGGTGGTTTGGTCATGTGGAAAGAATGAATGAGGAAAGAGTGACAAAGAAAATTTATGTTGCAGAAGTGAATGGCAGAGTCGGAAAGGGACGTTCCAGGCGAAAATTTATCGACCAAATTGGCGATTTATTGAAAACGGGCCAAATTAGGAGTACCCTTAACCGACGAGCATGTATGCGTAGGTGTATGGATGTGAAGGAGGCGAGAGGTGTGTCAGGATCGTGCCAAATGGAAGTCTGTAGTCTCTGCCTACCCCTCTGGGTGACTGGCGTGAGTGTTTATGTTATGTTTATGTAATGTCCTTTAGGTTAATTTCAAGCTTTCAAACACTGTCTTAAATTTGCCACAACCGTGTTCGAGGTAGTTGTTAAGTCAGAAATAAGGGGGTTCTAGACACAACCAGTCCAGACACGGAACCAGTTTCAAGACTCCGGGGCCCAGGACATAGTACCACATGCATAAATTATCAAGGTTAGCGATTTTTATGACAATGTTCTCGATAAGTTACTTATCTCGATTTTAATAATAATATTTCAATTGTATATATATATTCAAAATCATTGAAATTATTTGATAAGTAACTTTTGAAATGCGGGCGGACTGGATCCACTTATGAATTGCTAACGAACCCCCCATTAGGTGAGTGTAATACCGTTTGTACAAGGTTTCAATCAATTTCTCAGGTGCAATTCAATTAAATTTCAATGTGAAGGATAGTCAGTGTTTGAAACATCGCCAACTTCCTGACTCCAGGCTGCCTCTTAAAATTTCTTAACAAAAATACCAGGACATCATGATTTTGAGCTTATAGAGTAGTCGTACCGTTAGTGCCTACATGTGTGGTGTAAAGTATTGCTGTATTTTATTTGGTATAAGGAACATTTTATTAAACCCCGCTTTTAGTCAAGTTTTACGTTAAATTTCAAATTATTATTATAAGTCCTACCGTTTATTATATATTTCATTTTTCTTTTTTATTTCTTTAGAGTATGACAAAATCTGGCACTGGGGTGGGTAAAGAACCACTTAAAGGTGAAACGTTGGCTGCTGAAGAAAGTAAATCCAACGCGGCAACCAACTCAGCGGTTACGACCACTACTAAAATTAAAGATGGCTCTGCACATCCTCATCCAGGCAGCGACTCCAGGGTATGGGATATTTTTATATTAAATAATTACAGTCCGTAAGGCATAATCTGAGCTTTGCATTTGTGTGAAAGAACACCAAAAGTAGAGTTAGACTTAAAAAAGTATTTTTACATAATTATGTAAGTGTGACAGAGAAGTCAGAGATCAATAAATGAAATTTAAATATGAAAAAATTATAACAATTCTTCTACACCGGACATTCCATCTTCATCATTTTCATTATCATTTTCGTCTTCATTTCACTCTTGTCTAAAGGGTCGTTGGTGTTAGTAATGAATCATTCCATCATATCATCAAGAATGGCGTCGTGACGATGAAACCTTTTTTTACGTACATACATTTTTCCATTCTTGTACAGTGATAGTGTCAACTTTTTCTTTCGATAACCTCTCATTATTACGTCCGTATTCATTGACACGTTTTTTTCGCCACATCTTATCATTGCCCATATATTTTCAATTGAAATCCGGGTGGTTGGATGGTAGAAGAAGAAGGACGCTGTGACCACGTTCCCTAAGTAAAGTGTCACTTAATATTCAATAAATCTTTGTTTGTTTTGCAGTATTAATTGATAGAGTTGTAGTTTAAAAACATCGATATAGAGTGATTAATATTGCGATACTTGAGCCAGTCAATCATAACTTGTTTACGAATATTTGAGTTGGGAGCGGGATTTTCTAACGAATTGTGGTAAGATGCATTGTCTACAACCACAACGCTATTGGACTTTAAATTTGGAAGTAATTACGTTTGTAACCATTTCGTGTAGTTTTCTACATTCATATTGTTATGGTAATCACCACGTTGTTGATTTGCTTTGAATATTAGCAATGCATTTGGTATAACCTTCCTCTCCGCCGGCATGAACTATCTTTAAACGATTTCCTTTAGAAATTGTTTTCAAACCAGAAGTGCTGCCATCTTGAATAAAGTTTTGTGATGTGCCGACGAAACATATCGTCGATATGTTTCGTCGGTATAAAGGACTACGGCCCTGAATACGATACTCGGAAATTTTAATCAAATGATTTATACGTAGATAACGTATATTATGTTTTTCCATTAGAAATTTTCTATTATTTTCTTTCGTTTTCCATTTAAATCCTAATAGAGACAATTTTTTACCCAATGACCAAATTGAACCTAGATAGTTTCTTTCTGTCTTCAACTTCTCATGTATTCGCTTCATAGGTGGCAATTATTTCATCAGTAATGTAAATAGTTCTTCGGATTACCGTTTTATGATTACCGAAAATCGTCAATGATAGTGACATTTTTCCTGCATCTTGTCTTTTTCTGAGATTTAAATTTGCTTCCGTGTTCCAAAAGACGTTTACCTTCCAATAAAACTCTTTTGACAGTGGACGGCGGAATTCCTGTTGATGTCGCTAACAATTGGGTTGACGTAGTGACACTTGGCATGTCATTATCGTTCGTGTCTTTAAAATAACTATTTATATTACACCAACTTTCTTTTACTTGGCTATTTAAAGGTTTTGGTATTTTTCGTTTATTTGTGTTGGCAGCCATTTCAGTAATAAAACGTACACAAAAACCAAAAAAAAAAATTAAGAATTACACTCAACCAAATCCAAAAAATACATTTTGACAGTTGTTAGACTTATTGCACTAGGCCATGCCAACCAAACAATCGGTACGTACAATATTCGATTCTTAAGGTGGCTCAAGTCGCGGGCTCGAACTCATTGGTGGGCGCGGCCAAAAAGCACGTTGTCTCACCTGGCATCGTGCCCGACAGAGATAGTACCAGTGAAGAGCAGTTAGAACGCACGTCTTGTTCGTACGGCGTTCCGAACCGTTAGAACAAAAACGAAGTTACACGAACACGATGCACACATACATACCACCCTATTCTGTGCCGCTCGACGCTTGCTAAGAAATCAGTAGTACATACCTACAAACTCGTACTAAATTATTAGGCACTGCGCTACGTTATCGCTTTATACTATACCTCTATGGCTCTATAGATACCTAATATAGATTGCTTATTTTATTATGTTTTGTTTTCCCCGGGTGGTCATGCAGCGATCACTCAAGAGTTCACGACGCCGAAGCATGAACTGGAACAGTCATCACAATTTATATCCGTACTAGCTGTTGCCAGCGGCTTCAAACGCGTGAACTCGAAAATTATCCCACAGGAACGAAATACCTGAATAAACGGTATCAAAAAATGTGTTATTCCAGACCAGGTATAACCTATCTCTGAGCTAAATATCATCCAGATCCCTTCAGCTGTTCTGGCGTGATTGAGTAACATACATCTATCCATCCAAACTTTCGCATTTATAATATTTAGATAATAATTGTAATTAGTTCTGCCTACCTATAAATTGTTTTCAAAAATACTTACCTGTCTTCTTACTTTTTTTTATATACACACAATATCACTAGATGTAAACACATGTTTTTATCAAGACAAGTGACCCGTCAAGACTGTTTCCTTAGTACCGACGTACTTAGGCAGGTAGTAGTAGGTAGGCAAAAACGATTACTACTGAAAAACTAAATAGGTACCTACCTAACATTCAAATAAAAATATTCTCAAAAAGCTCAACCAATTCAGAATTTAATTTTGTTAAAAGAAAATTGGTCAAATAAAAAATAAAGGATGAAAATAAAGCATATGGGAATATAAAAATAAATCGTATTTATTTGAATAAAACTATTATTTACGGATTTTATCGCGTTTAATTACTTTAATTTATTTTTATTATTATCCCGACGTTTCGGGTGCTTTACAGCGCCCATGGTCACGGGGGGGACCATGGGCGCTGTAAAGCACCCGAAACGTCGGGATAATAATAAAAATAAATTAAAGTAATTAAACGCGATAAAAATCCGTAAATAATAGTTTTATTCAATGTGTAGTGTTCGCGTAAATTTAAGAAATCGTATTTATTTGTTATTTCGAGTTTTACAAGAAAAGCATAATATTTACTAGAGAGAATTATTTTATTATTATAATAGTACATGATATTCCCTTTAAAATGACACCAATATGAATAATATCTTATATCTATATCTACAAATAAATAAAATTTAAGTGTCTGTTTGTAATGTTAAAATAACAGCTTTTTATTAAATGCATATGAAAGTACTAGTAACAAAAACACATTTTTTAAAATTTCAAACACCACAATCTCAAATTTTTTACTCTGCTATCTTCAGCGCTGTACACGAACGGAACGATGTCGTTGAGAGCCGTGGTAGCTCACATGGTTAGCGCTCGTTATAGGTATAACAGTACGGGAGCAACCCGGGTTCGATCCCCACTGGAACTAATGAAATTGTTGCGTGCTGATTTAGCTATCAGTTGGAAAGTCTGTTTTTCTGGGCCGTTTTGTTTTTTACACTGACATCTCGGAAGTCACCTATGGAACTAGGAGGTTGTCGGTTGCTTATTTTTTATTTTTCTTTAAAATTTTCGTCGGTAAAATAACATATTTATAAAAGTAAAAAAAAGTAAAGTTACAGCCTATATACGTCCCACTGCTGGGCACAGGCCTCCTCTAATTTCTGAGAGGGTTTTAAGGCAAGGAAATGTCCGCCACGCTGCCTCAATGCGTGTTGACGAACTTCACATTTCTTCGAAATATATATTTTTTAATTTCTCAGACATGCAGACCCGAGTTCGATCCCCGCCGGTATCAATGAAATTGTTAATTGCAATTGTGCTGATTTACCACGTGCTCGGCGGTGAAGGAAAACATATTGAGGAAACCTGCACGTCTGAGAATGTAATTATAATCGAATGTAAATCAAATTGACATAGGTAAGTACAGATAAAATTAGCGGAACATTAATAAAATTTTGAGATCGTTTTTTTTTTCAAAATTTTATTTATATATTCCTCTATTTTTGTCTGTGCTTATAGCAATTTGATTTAATCCAAAGTTCAAGCAGGGGTCAATGTAGCGTAGTAATTTAGAGCGCAGTTATAGCTATAATCATACGAACGTCACAGGCCGCAGCTGACAATGACGTCGAATAAAACTAGAATAAGCGCGCGTCACCGCGCATGCATGTGTGTATAAGTGTCGTCCTCCCGCACCGCACCGAGGGAAAAATTATTCAGTGAGATGCACGATAATACATATAAACACGCGCGCGTAAAAAAATACGAAAAGGCCTTTGGAAGGAGGGGTTTTATGAAAAACCCACTGCATGAATCAATTACCAATAAAATTTATTGAATTCTTCGATAATTGAGCTGTGTCGGTACCGACTTTGTTTTGGAAATTTTACACTGCTTTTATTACTAATTTACGCCCAAAGTTGTGTTAAAATTGGCAATAAAAACGAATCTTTGGTAGCTCGTAACTTTTTACTGACTTTTTTATTTTACTATTCTGTTTCGGTACAGACAAAATTAATAATGAGACAAAACGATATCATGTTTAACTTTGGATGTACACTGTCAAACAGCGGAGTAAAAGCCCTCCGAAATTTCTATGGAAATAATGTCGACTAGAGTCACAGTATTGTTTACAGTATTGTTTTGAATAATACCAGAAAAAATTAGAACTGGATAATTTAAAACACGTAATTTATAATTTTCTTCGAATTCTAGAGGCTAATTTAAGATTGAAACTAGATTAAAGTAAAATTATTCAATTCCTTTCACTACAAATGTTGAGTTGTCGTTTAGATTAATTTTTTTTTTCAGTAATGTATTTAAAACGAATGTGCCTTTCAAAATCATCCATAATAATTTCCCTGTTTTCTCCAACACTTTTGCCCAATTATCCTTTGTGACATGGGCGCATGCTCCCTTCAGTAAACCTTTCTTCTTCTTCACTGTGAGTAGTTAGTTAGTACCAGTTCTGGCTCACTGAGTCAGAAGTGGTACAAGTACAACGTTCGTTGACTCACGATCCTAAAAAAAAAGGTTTTGGCATGATCTGATCACGAATCTGCGGTCCATTTTTGCGTAGGATACACGGTTCCGGAGATGGCAGATGAATTAACTCTTATCT